CGTTATTTTTCTTATAATTCTATATTTAAAAGTTAAAAAAAAAAATTATGTATCCACTTTTTGTTGTCATTTAGTATTTAGATTTCTCTACCCTAACTCTATTCTCATTCTTAATGTTTGTCTCATTAAAACCTTTCAATGAGAGTTAGTTGTCAATGCCGCCACAAGATGTCACCAAGTGATCGCATACGAAAGGTCACCCATTGTGCAGATCTATTTTATTGTCGCTCTGATGTTACCGATTGATTGAATTTCACACAAGATAGGGTCATCACTAATAAATAACTTGTGTGTTTAGTTTCACTTTTGTTTTTAAGAATTTTAGTTTAAAAAATAGTTGTATTAATATATATTTAGCACTTGTAATATTTGAATATTTGTTTTTTACCTATGTTGTGTACTTTGTTCTACAACTACTTATTAAATTTTTGTATTATTATGCTACTTATGTGAAGTTATATAAACATATTTTTCTTTATGAATATTTTTTCTTAAACAAGCGTGAGTAATAGGTACAAGATGGGTATGTGGGTACCTAGAGGGTACAAGTACGAGGATTAATATTCATACCCATGTGAGTATAGGGTTAGGTACGAGTATGTTTTTAAAACACAGGGTATAAAGATGGGTATTATAATACTCTATCCATTGCTATCCTTACTTCATTTTACTTTTGTTCAAACAAAAAATTTTAAATTTCAAATTATATCTCCAAAACTCAAATTTAGAGTTAATATGTTATTATAATTCATTAAGCAAGAGTATGTCATGTACATATAGCATGTACTTAGAGATATTTTTTTGTATGTTATTTAGCACTTTTAACATTAGGCTGAATAAATCTCGGAGTAAAACTTTGATATAAGTCTACGAAAGTCCTTAAATACGTTTTTAAAAAGTCTTATGCTTAAAATTATTTTATCATACATATTTTGTATACTTCAAATATATAATACGTGTAACTTCTTTTTTTCTGAAGTTTTTCACTACATTTCTCGTGATATATAATCATATGCTTATTTTAAATTAACAAAAATTACTTGTAAATCATTTTTTTATTAATACTTTTTTATAATTTTCATTCATGGTCTAAAGCTTTTATTACTGGTCTCTTGGCATAAAATTAAATTAATTCCTTACAATTTTTTTCTTAGATTATACTAAATTTTTTTTTTCATGAAGTGTGATTCATTAATTTTATCTTTCTATAATTTATACAATTTTAAATATTATTTTTTTATATTGAAAGTAAAATACCATTCATTAGTGGAACAGCTGTTTGACACGATTCATATAACTAATTTTGTTAATTCACGCCCCGTTGCCGTTGAAGTGAGGAAAGAACTTGATGCTTCAACTCTTAATTTTGTTTCTAGCATTCCTCTTTCTATATATGTCGTTTTAATACAGATTTAAATGTGATTTTACAAATGTTATAAAATTGGCTTGTTTTTAAATTTTAACTATTATTTCGACATGATGATGGGCCTTTATTAGTGGACGATTTATAATCACTTTTAAAGTGTTTTTTAAACTTTAACACATGTTTTAGCTTCTGGTGAGTTATCTTATCAATTCAAATAAACTTTTCTATAAAAAAAAAAAAGAATTATATGCAACAAAAAACAAATAAAATGATATTTTTAGTCTTTTAGTTAATCATTCAATACAAAATATTTCTAATTAATTTTCTTGTAAATACTGAATTTCTTTAATCAATTTTAAATAATAAAACATTTATAAATTACTAAAAGTAATTAAAATTAAGAATTTTAAATATTTACATTTTCACACTAATAAAAATATTATTTTCAAATATTTTAAATTTATATTTCACACTAATTTTTATGTTTAACCACCGTTTACAACGTGTGTTTTCCAAACACAACTTTCCTGCAACTCGCAGCTTGCAAGTTGCAATGCACTGTTGTGGCGTGAATCACGTGGTTAGATTCATTCATTCTTACAGCGTCACCCTTTATCCTTGTGTGAAATGACAAGAGTGTGGAAAAGCCCTACCAAAATCACTGTCCCTTTCATTTCATATCTTCTCAACAGTATCAAAGTTTGTGGTCTATTATTTTTGTGACATAAATTCATTTTTTTAATATATTTTAGCTGTGATATGGTCATTTTTTCACTTATTATAAGAAGAATTCATCCTTTGAATATTATATCATATGTATAATTGATCTTTCAAGTATAAATTTAAAATATTAATTTAAATAAATTAATATTAAATTATTCTTCAAATTTATAATATTAAACGACATGTAAACCTTTTAATGAATTAATAATACTTAAAGTTTAACATTCTTATCTTAAAATTAAAAGTATCTAATTTTCTTTGAGTAATCATAAAAACTTATTTTGTAATTATAAATGTTATTTTTGTTTGTTTGTAAAATATATATTTGTTCACTTATATTCTTTTTATGTTATAAATTAGAGTCTACAGTTTAGATAGTAAAATATTAGTGAATTATTATTTTTATGTTATAAGTTATTTTTCTTCACAGTTCACATGTATATTTTAAAATTAAAATTACATAAAAATTTTAGTAAATTATTATTTTTTTACTCACAGTTTTGTTAATTTTGTTATAAATTTTAGAAATTAAATTTGTTACTTCTTTTTTCATAAATACTTATTTTTTTCACATCTTTATTAATTTGTTTCTAAATTTTAAAAAATAAATCTGTCATTTAATTTTTTTCTTATTATCTTATATAATTTTTTTATATTTTCACAAATACTTATTTTTATATTTTAAAAATTATTTTTTAATTTAGTGTTTATTTTTAAAAGTTTTATATATGAAATTTATGAGTATTACAAATACTTATATATTGTCTTATGAAATTAGTTTAGTTTAAAGGTGTATACTTTGGTATCATAAACTTTTTTTGATGGATATGATACCTACAAAATTTAGACCAATAAAATAAAGATATGTATCAAATTAAAAAAATATTATATATAATTTATTTAAAGTTATATTATTTGTTACATATTATTATTATTATTATTATTATTTAATTTCTTATTTTTTTATTTTTTTATAAATTTTTAATTTTAAATAAAATATAATTTATATTAAATTTATTTAATAAAAAGTTATTATATTTATTGTATTTAAAGAAGTTAGAGAGTAGTTAAGTTTTTGAATAAGAATAAAATGTAATGAAAACTAAACTAACTAAAATTTAAAAAATAATAATAATATTATATTAATATATTTTATATTCTTAATTTTATTATTATTAATATTTAATTATTTAATTATTATATTAATATATTATGTTATGATTATTTTTTATTTATAATAAAAATTCTTAAATATAAAATATATTTTATTTGAAAAAATAAAAAATTATACTAAAAATTTATAAAAATAATAAAAAATAAATAAAAAGTAAATATACAATATATATTAATATAAATAAAATAAAACTATGTATCAAATAATATAAATAATATAATTTTAAATAAATTATGTATAATAATTTTTTTAATTTGACATATATTTCTTTTTTATTGGCCTAAATTTTTTGGGTACGATATCTATAAAAGAAATTTTGAGTACCATAGAATTTACCTAATTTTTAAAATGTTAAGTTGTAATCATTTTAAAATAAATTATTTAGCCTAACAATTTAGCTAGACTTATTTAAATAAATAAAAACAGTAGCAATAATAATATAATTTTTGTTGTATTAAGTTTATATTGTAATGGTTAGAAATTTTATATTCGTTAACCATATTAAAGATTTAAAGTTAGTGACTAACATATAAATTTAGGTTCATCAATTTGTTTAATATATACATTTTTAACTTATTTAATATCATATCAAATAAGAAGAATGTTAAACTCAATTTTATAAAATTTAATTTAAAATATTTCCTCTCCAAAATATACGCTGACAAAGTGTTTTAAAATTTTATGTTATACTTTTAGATATTTACATCCATTTCGTTCATAAATATCTTGTTCTCTCTGAATAATATCAAAAGTAAGTATCGATGATCACGAATAGGGGAGCAGATTGGAGAACCCGTCTACGAGATATTTTCAAAATTTGTCTCAGTCAATTATTTATTATTAAAATATTTAAATTATATATATATATATATATATATATATATATTATATGAAAAATGTGTGACAAACAATTATGTATGAGTTATTTTAAATATTAATGAAATTCAAATTTATTTTATAAGTCTAAATGATATGGAGTAATAGACTAAAAGATAATGTTGAACTTAAACGTGTTTGAATTTGTTTAGATTCATTAGAATAGATATACTAATTATTTTAATGATTTATGTTAAAAATATGAGCCGCACAAAATAAATTTTTAAGGAAGAAATAAAATATTAGTATATGAAAAAATATTAAAAATATCAGACAACTATTATAAAGAAAAAAACAAATTATGTTCAGTCAAAAACCATACCATTAACAAAAAAGGAAAACGATATACGATTGGATGTTGTTATTATCTCGATTACAATTACGACATTGACTTATTTTGTTTTATGATACCCAAGGGAATACATTAAATGAATGGGTATTTTAATTCAACAGAAAAATACATTTTAATTTATAAATTTAATTATGAATAATTAAAATATTAAATTACGTGACATTTAAAATGATTATTTAATTATTAAATACATTTTTAAGTTTAATTATTTTATATAATTGTATGATTGATATTTATACTTTTTATCTCTTACATTATGTCTGGATATATATATATATATATATATATATATATATATATAATGTTTTTTATATACAATTTTAAGATATATTATTTTTGTTTTTTTATTAATATTCTTTTATTGATATGTAAAATTTTTTTGTATAATTAATAATAAAATAATTTTTACTAAATAATTGTAATAAAATAATTAATATTTTCCTGTTATATAAGTTTTAATTGACAGATAATAAAAATCAGAGTTAAAATGAGTATTCAGTTACTGTAGATGCTTAAGTGCTTATTTATCTTATCCTCCGTCTGGACTAAGAAGTAGCAGTTGGTAGTGTCAGAACAGTGAAACTCAAAAGACAATGTGCTCTATTCCAACTTCTTCTTTTCTCGGAATCAACACCACATTTCCAAAATTCCAACTTTGCCCTTCTCGACTTCCCTCTTCTTCTTGCTCACGTGTGGTGTGTCATGTTGGTTCCAATTCCAATGTTCAACACGTTGCCAGTGACCTCAAATTCGTCTTGCACGATGCTCTCGATGCTTCTGGAATCGACACCACCCACGCCAGAGTAATAATATTAATATTAATACTAATACCTTGCTTTATTTTCATCTTTTTTTCTTTTAATTATGTTAGGTTTAATTTTGATGTTTTATATTAGTTTTGAAAAATAAAATAACACGTTAATTGGAGTTTGGAAACATGCTAATTTTGTCGTCCCGTTAATTATGGGTTGATTTTTTTAATATGAATTCGTTTGAGGTTATGATATTTGGGATTTTGAATGACAATTTTTAAGTGAGAAAGAGATAACTTTTTGATCTTTTGCATTTTTTTAGTTTCAAAGTTTCCTGTTGCTGTTATTCAGTAGTGTTTTTTTTTTTTATTCCTTTCTAAATTTTGATAAAATATCAAACCGTGTTGTGCATAATTTGATTCGTCATGTTAAAATTTGTTGTTTGACCTTGTTTTGGGAGAATGGTCACATCGGAGTTTATGTGCTTCTCCTCAATGGTTGAAATTTTACAGAGCTTGAAATTTCGTTTTCTTCAAAAGGGCCCTTTAGACATGATTATGACTTCCAATATTGTATGATTTAATTTGTCATGCTAATTAGTGGTATAATCGCAGCTTGGTGTGATGTAAAATGGTGTATTTTGATGCACTTGAAATTTACAAATGGTGTCATTGGTGAATGAGCAGGAAGCTAGGGAGAATTTCTGCTCACAAATTCAGAGATTTACTGATGTTGAGAGGGAAACCAGCATTTGTATCAACAGGTCTGTAGATTTGGGAAGAACTGCTCTCTATATAGATGCAGAAGATGATTCTCTGGTGTCACATTCATCAGTTCCACTTCCTGTGGATGCTTTCGTCACAAGATTAGATGATATATCAATGGACTACTGTCCTCACTACAGCCCCGAATACGATTCATCACCCGAGAAGTTTTTAGAGAGCATAGAGAGATTTCTATATGTTCACAAGGTATGTAGTTTGATTTCGTACTGCATGCTAAGTTTGTTTCATTTCAGTGAATGTGTAATAATGTGTTAGGATTCCAATTGCAAGGTATGGGGACTTGAGTTCCACCTTGGAAGTATGAGATTCTAATGTGAAGTTCATAAGGCTTGGGCTCTCCAACTATAACAGCTATCTTGAGAAAATTCTGAAATTGCATTATCGTGAAATGTTCTAAGAAATGCTAATTGTGTTTTGCTTAGCTTAATTCTCTTTGCTTTCTTGACTTCAGTCCTTTTGTGTTCAGCTTTAGGAGGAGGCCAATGTTTTTGTTAGGATCCAATCCCAAAATATGAGACTTAATCCCACGTTAGAAATATGGGATTCGAATGTGGGTTTGTAAGACTTTGAGCTTTTTAACTACGATGGCTAGCTTTTGTTAGTTTGGTTCTTATCAATTGCCAACGTTGTGATATCAATTGATAAGAATTTTGGGAGAACCATACCACAAAATCTAGCCGTTTGAGTTAGAGAGTTCAAGGCAAGGCTTTATAAACACTAGTAAAATCCCATAATTCTAGCGCAAAAGTTAAGTCCCATGCCTTGCTATTGGGTCTTAATGGTTTCTTAGCTTTTACCTTAGATAGGTCTGCTGCTACTCCTTCGCTAAGGATCGTATTCCTAATTATTCCAGTTTTAACTTTGCTGCCAAAGTTGCATTTCCTGTAGTTTAACCGCATGGAACTACTTTTTAATACCCCAAACAACAGCTTTAAATTGGAAATGTGGGCAGATTTATCTTGGTTGTAATCAATATATGAACTTCCCTAACAATGGGTCTTGTGATCCAAAGGAATCCCTAACCTGTCCCACACCTCCTCAGATCCTCTCAATTCTAGCCTCCCCCTTTCTCACCTTCTTTCATATTTATCCTACTTTACAATGCTGATACCATAATCATTCCATCTCCATTCATGCCAGCACTCAAATATCTTCTGAAAAGTACACCATAGATTTAGTGTTTTACAAGTATGTGCACAGCATTGATAATGCCATTCTTTTCACATCAGGATCAGGGTATAAGATGTCTTATGAACTATGAAGTACTAATCTTTACATCAGTTCATTCATTTAAATGTGCTACAATACTTTGACCTGGATAAATGACAAGTCACTGAAACTAGAAAAGCAGAATTTCTAACTATAAAAAGTGCTGCCTTATTCTTTTCGTCAAGATCTTGGTATGAATGCCCATAATTGATTTACTACTTTTTCTCATTCCTTGCAATTATATATTCTTAACAACTAGTTTTTTTGCTTACCATGATTTGCTTTCCTTTTACTGATCTCTTTCTTGCTGATAGGGTTTCAGGAGAACCAATGCACATCTATTGGAGCCACGATCACTTTATCTCCACTCCGTAATAATATCTCTGATATACAAGTTGTTTCTGAAGAGAAACCTGTGACTAGTAGACATTTAATAGATTTATTTTCATGTGTTGAGCAGGTTTTGACTAATCGTTCAGGATCAACTGCAATGCTGTCCCTAATATATTCAGAAATTCTGAAAATGCTCCGTTTGTGGGGCCTTTTGTATTTTGATGCTGAAATTTTCTTCCCTCATGATGCTCTTAGCCTTCCCAAAGGCTATCACAAACAGAAAAGCAAGGAGTCAGACCAAGCACACATAATGACATCAGGAAACCTATTGGTTGGGGTAATTTCTTATTTATTTCTCTCCTTTCTCCTATGTCTGACTCTCCTTTACCAATGTAAAAAAGTAATGTGTAGATTTTTCCTAGTTCATGGCAATAACTGTTCATAGATCATGGGTTCTACTGGTTGGAGACAACCTCTCCAACATAGGTATGGCACAAACGTATTGCTACCTTATGGCAATATCTGCCATTTTAAAAATTTCTTAAAACAAAAATAAAGAAGCATCTTTTAAGTGTGTTTGCAGAAAAATGGGTTCCATGGTCCTGAGTTCTTGTGGACTTGTGGAACTTCTTTTCCAGAGCTTGGCTGTTTCAGTAATATCTTTGTAAAATCCTATAAGCATGGGTGTCATACATAAACGTATCCTAGATAATAGCTATATGCTGCTTCTAGTGTGGAAATATGAGCATGCGCCTTGGTTTATTTTTATTTGGAAGGTTATTTTATTATATATTCTGCTGTCTGACAATCTGTAAAAGAGGGTCACTCTTATCTGTGCCAATCTCTATCATTATGGTTGTTTTAGTGGCTTTAGCCTTTAGCACTTATGTTGGCCTATATTTGCAGATCTTAAATGATCTGAAGCATGCATTCTGGCCTTTTCAACATGATCACTCCAAAAATTTATTCTTAAGGGCAGCAAATGCTGCTAACTGCATTGACAGAACAGATTTTGTTGGAGAAAGGTACTTTATGTAATGGCATTCTCATCTGTTATTTATTCTAGAGCAAGTAGTTTACATAAAAACTAGTTTTGAAGTTTCTCAACTGCAGCGGCTTGCAAATTGCATCAGCTAAGGCTGCTCAACATAGGTTGGATCGAGGTGTTTGGACCAGTGTGCGTTTTGGGGACATGAGGCGTTCTTTGTCTGGTACGAATATGATGCAGTTTATCTCTGAACTCTCAATATTATAAAGCCAATGAAAAGATTTTGGTTCTGCATGGCCACCCTCTCCATGCTGCCATGACAATTCTTTTACGAATGAGATTAATTGATGGATCTAGAATTCGATGCACTATGCATGTAAACTATATAAGGCTAGATACTAAATATGTGTTTACTTTTATACTTTGGACTGTTTTAAGAACAATAAGCTAGAAATTGTTGATAACTAGCTCTTCTTCATTATGTTGACTTTGTATGAGGAACTGGTTAGACTTTTGAATTTTGTTAGATTCCCTGTTATTAGGTTTAATAGTTTACTTCTGGATGTTCCTACAATGGACAAGCAAAAACTTCCCTTTTAGGGCACTGTTTTGTGGTGATAAAAAGCTGGATAATAAATATCTCTTGTTGCCTGTTTTCCTTTTACTTATTTTTGGGGGAGGTGAGAATGGGGACAAGACAATAGATATTGGGAAGGCGTATTAGCAATTGGCTGGATTTAATTTGTACGTAATTCATAATTGGTTCCTCTCCTTTTAGATGTCAAGAAATGCTGGATATTGTTTGATTGAATGTTCTTTCTCGAATTTGGCTCCATTAAAGCAAGGGGTGCACTTTAGAGGGAAAAGTGAGGAGCTATAACCGTTTTGATTATCTAATAAATGGTGAGATTGTAATGAAATACATGCATTTTTGTAACAAACAATTAAGTTATTAAAATATATTCCCTTGATTTCCCAATCACCCGTTATAGGCATAGGCCACCTTTAGTGAGGGTTTATCAGAGAAAGCCTAAGAATAGGACAGCTGCAGAGGGTTTGAATTGTCAATCATAACTGTATTAGTGATAACTGTATTTTATTTCATGCTCTATAAATAGTTAGTTAGAAAAGGGGGAAGATATCTTAGGAGAAATCAGATATTATAAGGAGAGACTGGAACTCTCGAAATTCCAGTAAGAGGGTGCTGTATTGTTTCCAATTCTCTTCTTTTATTCAGAGAAGATTCAAAAAACTTCTATTCTTTGTTCGATACCTATCACACAGGTTATAGCTGCACACTTTCACCTCTTAAAGTGAACCTTTCATTTCAAGGGAGTCAAACCCTTCCTTCTTAAAGAGATTGGTTAACCTGCTTTACATGCAGACACCCTGCTTTTTAGCTTCAAGTTGTTCTTTATCATCTTTCCATGGTTGAAACCCATTTATTATCACCAAAACTAACTTTCTAGTCATAGTCTAATATGAAATAGGTATAGTATTGAGTATTACAAGATTGAGAGAGCATAAGAATTTATGGTTGAAAGCCCTCTGCATTTTTCTTCTGTCAATTTTGTTGATACTGATTAACCATATTTGGAACTACCAACAGTTATTACACACTTCTCTCTCATATTTTGATATGGTCCCAAATATTTTCCCTATTCTTTCAGCATGCGAACGCCTTATCCTGCTAAAAAATGAGGTAAATGAGTTAAGGGATTACAGCATTCTTCTCTATCATTGTGGTTTATATGAGCAGTCACTGGAATACCTGAAGAAGTACCATGAACTAAAGGTACTATTATGATCCAATGCAAAACAATGCATAAATGATTGCTTTTCCAAGTTAACTGAATGAGGTATTCACCATTCAATTTCTGCAGAACTCATCTACACAGGTGATGTCATCATTAAACTCTCTCAGCAGCCTAGAAGATGATGCTGTGGATAACCTGATGACTCGCTTGAATCTTATCCTGATGGAGCAAGGTTGGAGTCAACCAACATATGCCCGGAATTTCCTTGGTAATAACTCTGAACCATGGTAGTTAATCTTCCATGTTGTTTGAGACAACATCAAAGAAGATTGGCATTAAGCCCATGTTGGAAATCGACGCTGATAGTTCATGACAGCAAATTTTATTGTATTTGTGGACTCCCAAGCGTGAGATTTTGAGATACATGCAGCTGTAGTTCCAATAGCATGCATTTTCTGCAATCATACAAATGAAAAAATAGGGTTGCAACTGCTGAAGTGGACGAGTTTGTCCAATAAATTGAAGATATTACACATGGGTTGACTGAAAGTAACATCAAGTATGGAGCATAGAAAATTCTCTCTTACCTATATTCCAGTAATTATATAATTCTGTTCCTTTTACATATATTTCCTCTGTAAAACTCATGTATATATAGCTATGAAAAATTGGATGTATTGTTGAATCAGCATTACGTCATATATTCGAGGAGTATCCCAAGCAAGAAGGGGGGGAGAGGAGGAATACCTTCTAAGAATCCTGTGAAATTCATATATGCATATTTCAGGAATTGGACTTGACATCGTTACTATATTTAAGAAATTGACAGAAAGAATGCGTAGTTAATAGCAAGCTTCCAAAGTGAAGTAGAGATTTTAGCCTCTTATGCTATGTAATATATATCCTAATGGATTATATTTTTCTTGGTCTTGCATCGTAATTATGAGTTAAATCGCTTAACAATTGGATTCAAATTCAATAACTACATATACATGACACCAAAAAGTTTAAGACATCAAAATATTTCATAAAAATGGTATTGTAGAAATAAGAATTCAGTCTATAAACATGGCCCCATGCCTATTTATTTCCTCCTATGTTTTGAGTACATAAAACCCTAGTTGCTGCATCTCCTCCTTTGGGAAGCTTCTCCTCCCTCTCGGGAGAGTTATCCTCTATTTAAGGATGTTTTTCATCTTCTAAGTTTTCTCTTAATAAACAAATTGAACAGGAATGAATATTGTGTAACTATCATCCTAGTAACCGCCCCAATGAACCAACAAACAACATACAAGAATGACTATATCTATCACCTGTCTCCTCCCCTTTTCCTAAATATACATTTCCTAATTACAATGTCAGATACCCAACCAATGTGCATTGTTAGCAACTTAGCTTTATGTGCATATTTGAGCAAAACATTTTCTCTTTTCTTTCTCTTGTCCCAACTTCCACCATCACCAATCAAGTGATATAAATCGTTGAAGACTTGAAGGAAAAATGGGAGGGAAAATTGATAGTGAGGACAAGATACAATTATATTTACGTTGAACTAGTTAACCGTATTGAATGATTACTAAATAGACGAACATAAAAATATATAGTGGGAAACATATTCCTCCAAGTGACTGTTAAGAGAGTATGTTAACCACTGCAAGATACTTCCTCCTGGTCTTCATCCTTGGGTAATCACTTCATAAGTGGAGAGTTCATTGTGACATACTCATTTAAAGAGTATTGTACAAAATTCATTATTAAATGTTGAACATAAGCGACTCATATTAGTGTAGTTATTGGGGTAAGATCACTTGGGGATGGAGAGTGTTGACCATCAACTTGCATGTGCATGATTAGCATGTCCATATTTATGACCTTACTATATCATGCTTGGAGCTCACTGTCTCAACTCTCAAATGGATCATGATTCCATTCCATTACAGTAGTAGTAATTCACATAAGTCCTAATCAAGTTCTCCAAAGCAAATCATATAAGTGGAGGAAGAAAAGAAAGAAAAAAAAAATAAAGCAATAAATTTTTTTTGTCAGAATATACTATGTTTTTATTGGAGTTCAAAGAAGAAAAAAGATAAATAATAATTTTTTAACAAAGTTAATATTTTTTTAAACAAAAATAAACTTATTTAAAGTACTTTTGTAAATTTAAAGGATTAAAATAAAAAAAAGTTAAAAGACTAAACTGAAATAAAATTAAAAATTAAGAAACTAATTTACTAAGTTAGTGTATAATTTTTAATTAGTTATTATAAAATTTAATAATTTTTGTTGATATGATAATTTAAAATTAAATGATAATGTAAAAAGAAAATTTTTATACCATCAATATATTTAAATTAATTTTTTGTTTTTGTATAATTCTTTATTCAAAATTTGTTTGTTTAGAAGTTTTAGGGGCTGCTTGTTCCAAATTCACAATTAGTTTTGTAAAATTGATAAATTTTCAGTATTTCCAATTTATTTTAATTTTTGTGAAAATAAAGTTACAGTCGTTAATCAATTTGGTCTATCTAAATAAGTTCTTAGAGTGCATTTAGCTAACTGTTTATTTAAGTCCTTATTTAATAAACTATTTTTCAAATAATAACTTATGTTTTAATTTAATTATAAAATTTATTAAAATAAGATGATAATAACTTATTTTGATAAATTATATTAATAAGCTTATTGAAACAAACTGAAAATAATTTATGAGTCATAAATTATTTTACATAAATTGGTTATAAGCTCTTCCAAACATTTTTAATTATACATGAGATTATTAAAGCAATTATTAAAAAAAAAAACTATTTTATTTTATGTAACCAAACATGCTCTAAATTAAAGAAAAAGAGGGAGATTTTTATTTTTTATTTATATTTTTTTTCATATAGAATGATTTATTAATTCACTTTTTTTTATCAATTTTTATTTATTTGCACTTTTGTTAAATTTATTTTCCAAAATACTGATAAAATTAAAATTATTTCAATTCATTAAATAGTCTAACAATCGTGACACCTTTTTTTATTTACTTTAAAATGCATTTACTTTTTAAAATAATTTTAGTTTATTATTCTATTTTTATTTACTTTTTATATACTTGAAAGTTTTCAGTGAAAGAAAATTATTGAGATACTAAACTTATATAGTTTTAAAAATAAAAGGATATAATGAGTTTTAAAAAAATTAAAATCAAAATCATGTATAGCCCAAACAAAATGGATCAAATGTAATTAAAAGATAGGAATTGATTAAGAATATTTACAAAAGGAAAAAATATAAAATATTATTTTTTTTAAAAAGTATTTTTATGTGTAGTGATCCCGTAGAGCCAAAATTGAAAAACAAAAAGGGTAAATAATTAGGTAAAGGGAGGCTCATTATGCCACATCATTGTCAGTCCGGTTGGCCAAATAAGAAAAGAGGGCCAACTTTTATGCAGTGGAATGACTAATGAGGTACCATTGCTAGGGTTTGATAGGGCCATAGTGAGCTATTTTTGTTTCCTATAAGGCAAATCTATAGGGCAATTAGGGTTAGGCTGTGATCTTGACCTACATAGACCCTCTCTCATATGTATTCTAGGATAATAGGTTGGTCCCCCATTCCCTACCCTTTTCCATTTCTATCATATTTTAAGTAATTGCAGTATTAGAAACCTCACTGATGCTTACCTAACCATGTTCCCCAATTTATTAACATCAAGATTGGCACCGTTTGTCAACCATCAAATCTTAGTACCCCTTTTCTTTTTATCTATGATTTCATAATGTTTCTGATTTTCACAGGAATTACACTTAATCACATGTGATTGTTAGTGATGGTTCAATTTATTATTTATTTCATCATGAGCTGTGGAGATTGTCATGGATTTTGTTCAAACAATGGTAATAATTTGCTGTGAATTTTATTTTCTTCTTGTCACATTAGCAACAATGGCAATCATTATCTTTTCACATTATTTATGAAAATTATTTAGTGGGTCATTAAATCACTAATGAGAAGCCAGTGGTAGTAATTTATTGAAGCTGATTCCAGAAAGAAGCAAGAAATGGCTTTACCAGTTATTGTAATTCAGTGAAAAATCACCTATTTTGATTAAATTAATGTCTAGTTGGTAGCTGTGTAGCACAAAAGCTCAACTAAAATAATTTACATGGCGGGAAATATGAAACACAATAAGTTCCTTTTTGTAATAAGTTAAAATTCATTTGTAAAATATGGGATTTACTCAGCAAGGGAAATAGTAATGCATGGATACAAATCATATGATACTGATATAAAAGAAAAAAAATATACAAATGTGTGTGCATCAATCCTCAAATTATGAACTTATCTTTATACTAATTAAGAGTGTGCATATTATTAAATTGTTTGCTGAATTAAGATTATAATACAATTGAAATTAAATTAAAGGGTTAGTTATTTTAAATATGGTCGTTTTAGAAAAACAGTTTGGTGAATTAATGATTATTCTTTTTGAATGACTAAAAAGTAGTTTGAATTATTCAATTAGTTACAATTATAAATACAAGAATATTTATCTCCTTTTATTAGATAAGAGATAAAATATTTTTATATTTATAAATTTGACAGACTATTTAATAATTTTTGTTTTCTTAAAGACAAAATTAAATTAATAGCTTTTCAAAAAAAATAATTGAATGTTAATTTATTTATTTTAGCTTCATCATAGCATTCACATATGATTTGACATGAGATTTCTCTCTGGTCCGTTGTTGGGTCTGGCAAGATGGCCCTTTCAATAATTGTCTGTTTTTTTTTAATTAATGTTTCTTAATCTGAATGGAAAGATTCGTCTGACATCAATGAATTAACTGGAAAATTATATGGTTGAATTAGATATTAATTGTCAATTTGTAACTAATAATCTTCTAAAAATTAGCAAAATATTTGCAAGAAAAAAGGTTCAAATGAAAAAATATATTTCATCGGAAAGGAAGAACAGGATTAATTAGACTCTTCTGACTTTAATTTATCAGTTTAACTGCAATTTTATTTTTCATTTATAATTTTCTTGATTTAACATGAATTTTATGTTGCCTTCTGACTTTTGAGTTAGAGATTAATTTCTATAATTAGAAGAAAAAAAATGCAGATAGCAAATAACTTTTTTGAGGAAAAAGACAAAACGTTATCCAAAAGTACATTTTTTTTTTATAAAAATTATTTCAAAAGTAATAAACTTTTTTTATTTCTTGCAGATTTACATGAAGGAGGTAAGTTGTTCATTTCAACGCTTTACTTTGATCGAAATATCACTCAGTGTATGTATTTCTCAAAGTTATCAAAAATTAATTATTAATTCAAGGGTGTATAAGGCTTTAAATTCTAAATCTTTTTATTCTTTATTCTTATAATTCATTCTAATTATTAAATAAAGGAAACAATTAAATATATTTTATATTTTAAAATAAGAAATAACCCACTGTTTTATTTAATACATATTTTATAAAATAATAAAAAATTATTAGGAGGGTAAATATAACAAAATATACATAGCAAAGCTCTAAACCTTTATAGGAAGTCACATTAACTAAAGAAAAATTAGCTCCATTTTCTGCATTAAATAATAGTAAACTGAAGATGTGAAATATTTAAATGCGATGACCCAGTAGTTTAATAAGTGATGTTCTTTTTTTTTTAGTGCAACGGATAACGTTAATCACATAAATCTAAAATTTCTTTCTGAACGTGTGTCTAAACATGCGTTATAACTATTTCGTTAAAGGTACGTCTATTTATGAAATGTTAGAGTGTTAGGAAAATATTCAAGCCAGAATTAAGAAAATGTTAATATAAATATGTGCTAAAAAGTAAAAAGTATAAATTTAAATATTTATTATAAAATAAATATGCATGTGTAACCTAACAATAATAGATTGAAAATTAAGAAAAAAATTTATATAGAATAGGAGGGAAAAAATATTTCCATATATTGATGATAATTTCTCTTAAAAATTTGACATGACTAAAATTTAAACTTAGGTCTATATATTAACTTAACTTGAAACAATTTTTATTAATTGATTCACATATCAAATGTACATTTACATTATTTATTAATTTTTTTATACCATATAAGATAAATTAATTCAACCATTCATTTATCTTATATTACTTTTGTAATTATATGATCTAAATCTTTTCACATTGTGTTAGGAATGACCATTCAGTCTATTTTTGTTTAAGCAAATTATATTAAAAAACTAAAAATTATGTAAAATTAGTTTAAGTGAATTTATTGACTTAAAAAAAATTCATATTTAAAAGAAAAAAAAATAACACGAACAAAAAAAGAGAAAATTAAGTGTGACCCTACGTACTGACTCGAAGAACATCAGTTACAATATACTCTAGTAATTTTTTATATCTTTGTTTGTTGTGTATGATCCCAGAGGATATACAAAATTACTAAAGGATATTGTAGCTGATTCTTTGAGTTAATATGGTGGTACTTAACTTAGCTGATATTTATTTATATTTTAAAAATATATTACATGTTAAAATAAAATAATGTAACAATGTATTTAATTATTCTATTTTCATATAAAAATTTATAAAATTAATTTTAATTGATAAAAAATTTAAATTAGTAATTAGATTAATTAAATTTGTATTTTATAAAAAATTAAATAATATAAATATTTAAGTTTAACGTTGAATGTAAACGAAGACCTAAATATATATATATATATATATATATATATATATATAATAAAATAAAAAAATTTAGACAATATAGTTTTTCGTTGTAAAAAAAAATTCTAAAGTATGTAATTACTTTTCTGAATTTTATATAAGTATTATAAGATTACCTAAAAATAATAAATAGGTATATTTAGGGAAAAATATGAAAGAAAATTGAAGAGCGAAAAACCAAATCAGTTTTCTTCCGTTCCTTCAAAATGGAAAGGCTATTTGTTTTTACGTCTTTCCTATTTCTCTGCCCTTCCATTTGCAACAAAACACAAAAGATCATAATGACGCATCCCTAGAAATGAATTCAAAACAAAAATGTGTGAGAAGAAACCTAGAGCTTCACCTACACATGCAGGCACACAGAAATTTGTTTGGGGGCACATAACTTACTTCAATGATAATTACCCACCCTACCAATCCAAGAATCTCTTAGTGGACTTTCAGTGTCAGAACCTGTAGCAGTAGTAGAGCTCTCGTACCCCTAAAAAAAAAAAAAAAATATCACCCTTTTTCAATGCCACTAAGCACGAGACCCACCAGGGTAAATCATAGATCATAGTTCACATTTTTTTTCCTTTAGTTTTTTAAAATTCAAGTCATACATCACATTTGCATCAAAAGAATGGAATTTCATATTCTCTCTATATAATAAGATCTCCCACATTGAACATGAACTAGCTCAATAAGATAAAGATCTTAGAACTTGTAACATACCCTTTTTCCCAAAAACGAAAAACACCTCAATCTCTTTTCCAATGAGCATGTTAGGCCTTAGAGACCTTGTTCTCATAGCTCCAACCCCTTCCCTTCACCAAGGCCAACCCATTTCAGCAGAACACACTTCAAACCTTCCTCTCCCTTCATCAGCTTCTCTAAGTGTTGGTTTTGGCATTTTCCCACTCCTAACTGCCACACCTTGCATGCCACAACCTCATCAAAACAATGAAGTTCAAGATTGCGGTGGCAGCAACAACAACAACAACAACTATTGGAACCTCAAGATGTGCCCTGAAGTGAACCCTTCAAAGAAGGGAGTGATCAACGTGGATGATGATGATGAGAACCACCACAAGGTTGTGATGGAGAATGAGGAAAATGGAGTGTATGGTGCTGACTTTAGAGTGTGTCAAGATTGTGGCAACAGGGCTAAGAAAGATTGCATCTTTAGGAGGTGTAGGACTTGTTGCAAGGGACGTGGATATGATTGCAACACTCACGTGAAGAGCACGTGGGTCCCCTCAATTCGCCGCCGAGAGCGGGAGATGGCGGTGGCTGCCGGTGGTGCTGGTGCTAAGAGGCCAAGAGCTATAGTAGGGTCATCACAAAATGCCACTGCCACATCTCATAGTTCCAACTCTAATGCTACCACCCCTAAGAGCTTAGCTACTAGCTCTCCTCACCAAGGTGCTTTCATTTTTTCTCTTTCTTTCACATTCTTTAACCCATCAAAGAAATTAAATTAAATTGAGTGAATCTTTGATTCACTTTGTTTTATAAAAATGATAGCATAATTTTATCAACATTTCTTTTTAAAATATTAAAATAAGTGATTATTTTTTAAAAAATAATCGTTGCCAAATATGTACTAAATGTTCAGTTTCTCCTCTACATATATATTATTTGATGTCCCATTGGTCTTTAATTAGATGGGGAATTAACTTGTTAATCTATTGAGTATTATTATATGATATTATTTTTGTCCTTTTAAACCGAATTGGGTGTCACTCATTGGAGTAATTTGATAGAATAAGTTGATATTTAAGTGCATATGGAAGTTCTTGAAATGTATATGTACTTGTGAGGACTAAAATTAAGGAGGAAATGAAAAGATGAGGTTGAAATTGAAATGATTGTCATGAATTACATGCAGATGCGGGGTTCAAGCAGTCTTTACCAGGTCATGTTCGTGCACCTGCTGTGTTCAGGTGCCATAGAGTCTCTGCCATTGGAAATGGTGAAGATGAATTTGCATACTTGGCCACTGTTCATATTAGTGGCCATGTGTTCAAGGGGTTTCTCTATGATCATGGTGTTGATGGCAAAAATTCAAATGCAGTGCCTTGTGTTTCAGAACTGCAATTGGGCAACAATTGCAGTGGCAAGAACAGGGAATGTTCTTCAATTGGGGTTCCAACCAACAATGCCTACCCTGCCTCTGCTAGTTGAAGATTTGCTTATAGAGGTACAAAATTGGCCCAGCTTAATTCAAAATAACATTCCCTACCCCCATTGATTGCATTATTAAAAGAAGTCAATATTTCTGAAACAGTGCATTTTTTTATGATATGAATTTAATCAAATAATAGACTAAATAATGTCATAAAATAGGAAAGTGATAAAAATATATAAAATAAATGTAAAAATTTTGTTGAAAAATTCAAATTATAATGATATTCGCATACTGCATTTCTACACTTTTCCTTTTATATCTTTCACTTAAGAAAAAAAAGAGGAAGAAAAAGTAAAAAAAATGTAAAAGAAGTCTAAGAATGTATTGCATCTACAAAGGAAAATAGAGGAACAGGTTTACAGTTGCATCCAAAATATCAGTTACTCGATTCATGCATTTATTTATTTCATATGAACGGGATTAAGAATAGTCAGAGTCACTTTAAAAAGGATTTAAATATTATAATGTGGGAGAAAAATATAATTAGTAGATTTTATAACTAATTATATGAATCTTTATTTAATAAAATTTGGGTCTTTTCTAGTTAATATGGTATTATTATATTACTTAAAAATACAAAAAAGGTCCATTACTTAACAAAACATCATGTCACTTTCGAAAAACAAAAGACAACTAGAAAAGGCACCGATCGTGCACTTCTCAATGTCCATTATAAGAGTGTCTATTGCATTTCCACGTTGCCATGTGTGTTGCATTTCCACCGCCGCATCCAAAAGTTCAATACACACTTTAACTATCAAATGCTTAATCTAGGGTCATTGTTCTGTCTGCTAATAATATATTATATCTTTAATCCACACACCATTTACTTTTTAAAAACATTTCAAAGTTCCTATTTTTTAAGCTTAATTTTTATTTATATATTTTTGAGCTGTCAATTAATACAACATACTCCTACAATCTATAATCTACATTTATCCCATTTCTCCTTAGTATTGTTATAAGTTGACTACAATGACAAGACATTTTAATATTGGAAAGGGATAAATTGCATGAGAAAGGGTATCACACATTAACACCCTCCCCCTAACTATATGCATCTATATTTTGTTTGTGAACTAGGAATGTTCCTTCCATCCATCATCTTTCAGAGAATAACACGTCTCAGCTATAATATCTTTCTTTTGGCCATTCATGATGTTATGAAATAATTAGCAACATAATTATTAGGTTATTGAAAGTGAGGCTTTCATGCCATTCATCATTCACTTGGAGCAGATAAAGGTGCCAGCATTTTACTGCACTATTTCTTGTTTTGATGGGATGTTCAGATTTACCTCATTCATTTCAAATTTGGGCTAACTTCAATTTGATGAAGGAAAAGACACCACAGTCATTAATTTCTTGCAGTGCAATCTGTATAGTGCATTCACCTAAGACAACAAAATTTTGTTTGGTACCCATTTTACACATCAAATTAAAATAATCAATTTATGAGATAATTATCTGATTTTTTGTAAAAGAAATTAATCATAAATTATAGCGTTACAAACTACTTGTTGTAATTTGTTTATATTGCTATTAATTTATGGATTGGTTTGTTTCTCACTATTCGTAAAAATAAGATTAAGAGAGGAAAGAATTATTTTTGTAAATATTCGAAAATTTTTATCTGTGATGAAAAAAATGAGTAAACTCACCATAGGTAGACGAAATTTAGAACAGAGGTATGTAAGTGAGAGTTTTGTTGAGGACTAACAAGATGTAAACAATGTCTATGGCTATGACAGGTTATGGATCAGTTTCATGAAGGAAGGCAATTCATTGTGCAATTTTGCTGGGAAAACTGACCATATGTGTTAAAGTGGTATTTAATTGTGTAAATTTCTCTTCCAAAATGTTTATATCCATACATAAAACTGAGGGGCCACTGTTAAATTTCTTGCACCAGATTAGGAACATTGACGCTGCGGGATTTTATGTCCAATGCTTAATTAAAACTTTTACTTTTATTTCATTTCATTATTTATGGGACATTACAGGGATTAAGTATTCTTATAAAAGTGGCAAAATTTTTTGAGTCATTTGAGGATGAAAATAGATGTCAATTGGACAAAAATTCAATGAATCAGGTTAAGAGTCTCAACCAAACTTTTCAAGAAATGTTATGTGATGCGTGATTTTATTGTCATTCTAAAACATCTTTTATTGGTTAATTAAATTATTATTATTATTATTAATATTTAAATAAAAATGAGAGTAGATATTTTGGAGTGTATGTGATGATAAGGGAAATAAAAACTGATATATCCTATTCAATGACGTGAGACCATAATAGAGAGACAGCATTACTTGATTATACGGACATAATATCCTGTATTTTTATTTACCTGTTTAAGAGATAAACAAAATTATACATAATTATAATGTTAAAATTAATTATTGAACTTCTCCATTTATTTTTACTAATGAGTTTTCTTAATTTTTGAAATGATAAAAGTATTTTATATAGATCAAAAGATATTAATGAAAAGATAATAATTAATATTATATAAAATTTTAAATGGATAAATATATATATAAAGGTAAACATAATTTAACAAATTTTGTTGTGCATGTTGAAGTAGAAGACCATCAATTTCAGTTCCTTGTCTGGGAACTGATGAGGGAAAACGACGACCTGGATTACGAAGTCTTACAGCTGTCACGATTCATTTTGGATATTCAAGTTTTCACGAATTTGATTTTTCTTATAAGTAAAATTGAAATGAAATAATTTGTTTATTTATTTTTATTTATTTAAATGTGCTTTTAGATTTTGTAAACGTATTAAATTTGATTTAATTTTTTTAAATTTTAATCTCTATAATTTTTTAAAATAATAATATCATTATATATATATAATTTTAACAACTTGTGTGTTGTTTATTCATAATTTATTTAACTCAATTTGAATTATAAATTTATAAAAAGAAAAAAGGTTGTTTGTTTGGATGTTTTGCCTTATATGAATGAAAATTTTCTTTTATGTGGATTTTTCATTTTATTTTTTTACATAAAATACTGAGATTTTGACTGATAAGAGATGTAATTTTTTTTATATTTTATTAAAAATATTTTTTATATAAAAATATTAAAAGATTACATAATTAACAAAAAACATTTTATTAAAATAATTTTTTTTTATTATTTTGATATAATTTTCATATAAACTATTTTTAATTTTTTTAAGTCATAGAATAAGTAAATTGTTTAACTTCTTTCTGTCAGTTTAAATAACATATATATTTTTATTTTCTTTCTATTCATTTCCTATCTCATCCAATCATATAGCATAAGGAAAATCATCTTATCTTTCAATCGATTATTTCTACTTAATACATATTTCTCTCATAACCAATTTTTTGGTTGGCTGCAAAAACTAATTTGTCACAATTTTTAAAAGGTTAAAAACAATTAATTTGATCCATCTTCTTGTGTTTTTCTTTTTGCCTTCTTAAATGCTAAGCCTTTTGTTATTTTACAGTGGACAGAAATGTTAAATTGATGCGCACTCTTAAATTACATAATGCATTTTTAATGCAACCATACACATGAGTGGATGATATTACAAAAGAGCATGTAGCTTTATTTGAATTTAGAGGTTGGGTTTCTTTATTAGAACTATTGTTTCATACACTTCAAACTTTTTTCTTTTTAAATCTTTTTCAAGAATTTTACATGTGAGAATCTTTTACTATGCTAAAAAGGAGATGTAAAAGTAGTTCTAATTTAATTTAAAGAGCATTTAGAATTAATATAAAATGTTGCGCTATGCAAGTGTATTGCATTCAAGAGAGCAGTTAAATAATAGTTCATAGAAGTGGAGATCAAAGAATGATTTCATGTGAAACCGTTCTTAGAAGTTTAGTTTAAAGATTGATTCAGACATTAACTACTCTTTATTCTAGTATACTTAATCTTTTCAAAGATCCTATCTCCTTTATTTCAAATAAGGACATTGTTGTTTTTCAAAACTTCCATTAAAAGTCTTTTTCATAATATATCAAACATGCACATTGTCCTTTTATTCTATATCTAGATACATTGTCATATACAAGAAAATAATTAATTGTACCATATAATATTGCCTTTAATGTGAAATATCCTTTCCTGAACTCATCATATACTTCTATGCTAATTTCTCAAACCAAATTCAAATCTTCAATTAAAGGAGACAAGTACACAATCAATATTATTTCCAAGTTGTTTATCAACAAAGAGAGCATCATATATTTTTGCTTCATACAAAGTCATAGAGATAACTTATACATTATTAAAATCACAGGTCATGTACTATGAGTGCTACTTTGCATCCCATGGAGATTCATTCTGTTGGTTGCTAAAGAAAGATGTACATTTTTTTTTGTTTCTATTGCAAAATCTTCATATTCATCATAAAATCCTTTTCACTGAGGAGAATTTGTTGGATGCCTATGTAACGCCTCATATTCCTTTTCTCAAGTACATGATATTTCATAAAAAAATCAAGAAAATAAAACAAATTCCTTTGAACATTATTGAAGTAAGAAAGAAGTGTGAAAATAATATATACCATAGTGTAAAATTTCATTAATTTATAAGTACTTTAGAAAATAAATATTCTAAACTTTCATTTGCAACAAAAAAAAATAGTAGTTTTACAACTGTTTCAAAAGAATGCTATAGAACTAAAAATATTTATTACATAACTCAAAATAACTAAGTCTTATAACAATTATCATCCATTCATACACTGTGAGCTTGGTACTACTCATCCTGGTTTCTTGAAAATGTTGTGTAAGGGTGAGTCTCTACCCTACCACTCATATATAACACATTCATCATAACACACATCTTATTACAATTAAAGAAAATATCATGGTATTGTATATTATAGTGTCACATAAAGCAAGTTCTCATCTCAACACATAAACACATTATATTTCATAAATTCACAATTTCTTTCTTTTATCTGCGCTCACCGCGCCCTATGACCATAGTTATCTGATGCCTCGATCCCGAGGTCTTACACGTCCATGTAAGACTGCACCCAGAAATGCACCATAAACTGTTACTCTATCGTTGCATTGAGGGACTTCTCGTTACAGCGAGAAGGCGACATTTTTACGCCTTCCTCCCAGGGCTCTCTTGCTACAACGAGGCATCTCTCGCTACAGTGAGAACACTTTGCATCAGACACTTAGCTAAAATTTCAGTCCAATTCCAATCATTCACATAAATAGTCACTGGATCGCTTAATGCAATACGAATACAACGCATGGAATAGACAGCCTCTTAGCAAAGGTAATAATTAGGAGTCAAGTCAGGAAACAAGTGTGCGGCCATGTAGTACATTCGTACACAATATTTTGTGCACAACCCCGAATGTTACTCACTACCCTGTATTTTTCCAAAATATCCCATATCGTCTCCATCTTCTACCCCCTAGTGTATCTTTGTAACTATTTACATCATATCCATTTCCATCTCTTACTCTTTTTGAGTATATTCACATGTTCACACATATTTTTCATTATATTTTCACATACTTTTCATTATATACATCAAATCATGGTATATTCCTAAAACACATAATTTTTACATCAACTACAATATATTCAAACATGAAGCATCAATCTCTTTGAACATTTCATATTACAAATTCATAACTTCATATCAACCATCCTCAATATAACTTATCATGCAATATTTGAACATAATAACTTATTTTCACCATACAACTTCATATATTCATCATAAAATTACATAAACAACCAATTATTCTTACTTTTCACCAATTATTTTCACAAAACAAGATTTATAAGAATACAAGTAATATACATAACAAAATGATAAAGTAGATCCCCTTTTGTAACGCTCTAAATTTTATAATATTATTTGATTATTAATAGGTGTGTATGTGAATTTTCATGTGTTTGTGTATTTGATATATGTTAAATCCACGTTTTACCATATTTTTGTATAGTTTTGTTAATAAATAAGTAGTAAAGTGCTAAGTAAACTTGAAAATATCATAAAAATTGCATCAATATTCATAATTGTGTAAATAGTTTAAAATTTTAGATTTTTAGTATAATTCTGAATAATTTGAATTAAAATGACTTAATTCTTATGTAGAAGCTTAAGCTGAGAATTTGAGTTGAAAATTAAAGTGAAGAAAGTAGAGGAATTGAGCTTAAAAGATGAATAATCAAGTGTTATGTGTAGGGCGTAACCACTTTGAGTACATAGAGTTAACAATTTGAAGAAGAAAATTCATGAAGACTAAGAGAGTAGCAACTCTAAGTAGTAAAGGTGAACACTCCAAGCATTCAGAGTAGCTACGCCCAAGGCTAATTCACTTATGCACAGTGCGCAGGTCCACTCTAAGTGATTAGAGTAGCTACACAGTAAGCACGTATCTACTCCACGCACTGAGAGTAGCTACGCGTGAGGCTTTTTCTATAGAACACTTGCACGTGGACACTCTTACTACTTAAAGTGACCACACAAAAGTAACAGAATTTTGAATATTACTTCTATGTGTCAACTTTGGATGATTTGAGTTCCTAATTTAGTTATAGAAGCTTCTAGAAGACTTTTTATCCTATAATTCTCATAGATTAATCTGTGGAAAGGAAAAATGTAGGAAAAACATTATAAATAAAGTTAGAGGTTCAGAAAAAGGGACTTTTGTTAATTTTTGTTATTTTTCACTTTGTAACTATCTTAACTTCCAAGGGAAGTCAGAGAGCGAGATTGGGAGCAACTTTCAAGCTTCATTGCTAGAGGAATCAGGGTGAAGATTGGGTCTTGGAAGATGTTTTTCTGTCTCTTGTCTTCTCCTTCTTTCATTGTAATGTTGTTTTAAACCTTTTTAGTTAGGAATATATGGATCCAGATTTGATATTGTGATGTAATTGTAGATTTGGATCTTGAGATTTTAATTGAATTGAGTATATGATTCTATTTTTAATGCAATTGTGAACTAATCCTTCATTCAATTGAACTTAGAGGAATCTTCATAAATGGAAATTAAGTTTATTTCTCAAATCTGAATCATATGCCCAGGTTATTGAGATCTTAGGAATAAGTATCATAATCTAGTAATTCTATAATTTTCAGAACTTAATGCAGTATTTGATTAAATTTCTCCTAAGGAATTAAGGAGGTTTAATTAGGTATTAGGATCAATGAGGCAAGGAATTGTCCTTTGGTCAAAGAAGTGAAATGATTATCAATCAATTAAAATTCTCAAGAGTCTAGAACATGATTATATTGCAAATAAAAATCTAGTAAAATGATTCCTAACTATTTTCCATATAGTATTTTTAATACAAAATTCCTACTCTATTTTTACAACAAGTTTATTACCTTTTATTGTTCTTATTTTTTACTTTTGCATGTCACAAACCTTCCAAACAAATTGTGTGGCTCAACTAATCGTTAAATTGTGAAATGGTAATTGAAAATAAGATCCTTGTGGACGATACTTTGGGGCTCATATTGATTTCCAAATTTTATTACTTGCTACAACTACCTAGTGCACTTACTAATTAGTATTCCTCTAAATTTTTGTAACAATATATATATATATATATATATATATATTTGTATGTGATGATGTAGGCTTGTATTGTTGTAAATGATTGAGATTGGACTAAAAATTTGGCTAAGTGTCTAATGCAAGGTGTTCTCGCTGCAGCGAGAAGGCCTTGGGAGGAAGGCATAAAACTGTAGCCTTCTCGCTGTAGCGAGAGAGCGACAATTTGGGGTGCATTTCTAGATGCAGTCTCGCTGTAGCGAGATTCTACAGAAACCAGGATTCAGTTTTCTTTGAGATTTTTGCTGTAGCAACAAGGGGTATCATTGCAGCGAGAGATGCCTCGTTGTAGCGAGAGTGTCGCGACCAGATGGGTATTTGAAGGGGTTAGGGTTTGAAAAAATCATTTCCCATCTCTTTCTTCAATTCTCTCGACCAAAAACCTTATTTCACCGATTAAATTGCCTTCAAAGCCGTTTGTGAGTTAGATTGAAGGTTGAATTTTTATTGGAAACACTTGTAGGTGAGTTTTAATGGTTAGGGTTTCAGTTTTTATCCTTATTCTCTGTTCTCTTGGTTTCGCTTAGTTCTCATGGGATTCTTCCATGTGTTTAGGATGAAATTCGTGTGGGAATCACTTCCTTTGGCTGAATTCGTGCATGGGTCTTCAATTCAAGATAAGGGGGGACTCTACCCTATCTCAATGTGTGTGATTTACTGTTTATTTTGCTAAATATTGCAATGTGGCTGAGATAGAGGGTAAGAAATGTGTGTTGATAGAAATTATTGGGTGTTTGAATACAATATGATGTGTGATGAGAAAGTTGAACCCATTGTAGGTGATTGTGTTTGGTGAAATGCCATTGATTAGTGATTTAATAATGTGATTTAAATGTGGGTCTCTGTGCCGTGTACGAACATGAATATTGTGTACAATTGAAATGTGTGTGAATGAGGCATGTTAAATGTAGTTGTGAATATGTTATGAATAGTTTAGCGATACACTATAGGTGTGAAAAATGGGGATGGTAGAAATACCTTGGGAAGAGAGAATAGTAGTGACACCAACAGTGAGCGTGGATGCACCACAGGGCCACACACTCTCTTCTTGACTAGACCTCTGACCAACACCTTTGTTGAGCGACTCGTGACCGCCCACTTGATATTCGTGATGTGGGGGTAACTGAAGATCATTTGTGGTGTGAAACAGTGATCACAGTGCCACTGTGAGTGTGGCTACATGTAGTGAGCACACGTATGTGTAAAAACATTTTGGTGCCATGAGTACATCGATTATGAATTGAAACAAAATGCTCGAAAATGTTACTTGTGATTGACTATAATTAAGTAGAATATGAGAATATATGTGGAATGCGTAAGGTGAGTCTCTATGTTATGAATGTGTATTGGATAGTGTAGGGTACTCACCCTTACATTTATTTTTTAGGTGACCAAGACGATTAGTATCAGACTCAGTGAAGGATGAACAAAACTGCTGTGGGACTTAGGTATTTATTTTGAAATTTTGATGTATTAATTAAGTCATGTAGCAATGATTGATACAAATTGTAATCTATCTCTATTTCAAAATATTTTATTGAACCATTATTTGGGATCCATTTAAGTGAAAATTTTTATTATTCTCAATTTTGCGAAATTTATTTATTTAGAAAATTAAATTTAGGTGTTACAATTTTGGTATCAGAGCAGTTCATCCAAACCGGATTGGGGTATCGGGCTGAAGCGTCCAAACTGAGTGTTGATTTGTTTTGTTTACCTGAATTATAAATGTTGCTATTGATATGACATGTTAGAATGTGGTTTGTTGCATTGTGATTAGCTTAGCTTAGAATGGCTGGTAGAGGTAGAGGAGCAAGAGACACCAATGACCTCATAGAGCGTATGGCTCAAATTCTGGAGACCTTGGTGCATAACCAAGGTGGAGAGCCGGCTGAATATCGAGAGTTGTCTGCCTTCACTAGGTACGATCCTTCAAAGTTTGAGGGAGGATTCAACCCCTAGGGAGCTCAAAGGTGGTTGACGGATGTAGAAAAGGTCTTCAATGCAATGGGGTGCTGTGAAGAACACAATGTTGCTTATGCCACATACTTGTTGTGTGGAGAAGCAAAAGACTGGTGGAGGTTTGTCAGTCTGACCCTGCCACAAGAGGGTGGTTATATACAGTAGAAATCATTCAAGGCAATCTTCCTAGGGAATTACTTTCCCTGGGATCTAAAGAAGCAGAAGGCCCGTGAATTTATTAAACTGAAGCAAGTGAACATGACAGTAGGGGAATATACTGCAAAGTTTTAGGAGTTGATGAAATATTGACCTCACTATTAGCATTGAAATAGAGAGGAAGACTTATGTGCTCAGTTTAAGCAAGGACTGAGGCTAGACATTCGAGCTGCAATCAGTGTATTCCAGCTGACAGACTTGCCCACTTTGGTGAGAAAGAGCATAATCTTTGAAGCCAACTCGAGGGGCAAGACTGTGGACACTAGGGGGAGTGGTCCAGTGAAACATGAGAAAAGACCCTTTAGGTTCTCAAAGAGACCATATTCAAGTTCAAGTAATTCTTAGTCCAGAGGAAGTTCATCTCAAGAAAATAGCAGTGGGAGTGGCTCAGGATCAGACTCTTTCAGAGGGTTGATCAAGTGCTTAAGGTGTGAAGGACCACACATTATGAGGGATTGCCCACAGCCACGGACAACTTGTAGCAACTGTGGGAAGTTGGGGCACATTGCCAATGTGTGTTGGGCCGCTAAAAGGAATGACAGTTCGAGTACAGCTTAGAGGCCTAAATCAAGAGGGAGCATAGGGCTGAGTACGGGGCCAAAGTTGAGCATTCTGGGTAGGGTCTTTGCCATGAGTGGGGCAGAGGCTTCACAATCTAAGGAATTAATCAAAGGTAAATGCATTATTAAAGGTCGACTATTAGATGTGTTATTTGATTCGGGTGCTACGCACTCTTTTGTATACGTAGATTGTGTAAAGAGTCTGAATTTGTGTGTGACTGAATTGCCATGTAATGTTGTAGTGACTACCCCAATGGGTAAGCTGGTTGTAAAGTTGTGGGTGTGTTTGGGGTGTTCGATGATGGTGCATGGTAGGGAGTTTGGGGTGGATTTGATTTTGGGGATGGATTGACTGGCTGCCAACCATGTACTACTGAATTGTAGAGAGAAGACCTTGATCTTTGGCGCGACAATGATAGAGGTTCCAAGGCTTATGAGCTAGGGAGTGTGGGAGAACACAGTAAACGCTAAGGCCTTTATGGTTGACAATCATGTTTCTTAATGGAAACCGAAAGCGTGGTGGAACCGGAGTATATCCTGGTGGTAAGGGATTTCTTAGAAGTTTTTCCTGAGGATGTTTTTGAGTTACTGCCTGAGAGAGAAATAGAGTTCGTTATTAATCTCATCCCAGGGGCAAGCCCGAGTTCTGTGGCACCTCATAGGATGTCACCGATAGAGTTGGCAGAGGTCAAGAGGCAAGTGGAGGACTTGTTGCAGAAACGATTTGTAAGACTGAGTGTGTTATTGTAGGGAGCACCAATGCTCTTGGTGAAGAAGAAGGATGTAAGCATGAGGATGTGTGTGGATTACTGACAGCTGAACAAGGTAATGAACAAGGATATGGGTACTTGCTCTTGGTAAAGAACAAGTACCCACTCCCGAGGATTGATGATTTGATGGACTAGTTAAGAGGAGCTGCAGTGTTTTCTAAGATTGACCTAAGGTCAGGGTACCATCAGATCAAGGTAAAGGATAAGGATGTACCTAAGATGGCATTTAGGACGTGGTATGGTCACTATGAGTACTTGATAATGCCGTTTGAAGTGACCAATGCGCCTGCGGTATTCATGGATTACATGAACAGGATCTTCCATGAGTTTTTGGATAAGTTTGTGGTGGTGTTCATTGATGACATCCTGATTTATTTGAAGACTCAAGAAGAGCACGCCGAACACTTGAGAATTGTTCTGAAAATTCTGAAGGAGAGGCAATTGTATACAAAATTCTCTAAGTGTGAGTTATGGTTATCAGAGATCCAATTTCTAAGGCATGTAGTGTCGAAGGAAGAATCATGGTAGACCCTGTAAAGGTGGAAGCAGTAGTTGGATGGTTGAGACTGACGAATATGACTAAGGTCTGTAATTTTCTAGGACTAGTAGGCTATTACAGGAAGTTTATTGAAGGATTTTCTAAGATAGCTTTGCCCTTAACAAAGCTACTCTGCAAGGGCAGGGAGTTTAAGTGGACCAAGAGGTGTGAAGCTAGTTTCTTAAAACTGAAAATAAAGTTGACGTCAGTGTTCGTGTTAGTTCTGCCCGACCCAGAGCAGAAGTTTGATGTGTATTGTGATGCGTCCGGGCATGGACTTGAGTGTGTTTTGATGCAAGACAAGAGAGTAGTTGCCTATGTCTCAAGGCAGTTGCGCCTTCATGAAGTCAATTATCCGACGCACGATTTGTAGTTGGCCGCGATGGTTTTTGCTCTTAAGGTATAGAGGCACTACCTTATGGAGCGAGGTTTGATGCGTTCAGTGACCACAAGAGTTTGAAGTATCTGTTTGACCAGAGGGAGCTGAACATGCCGCAGAGGAGATGGATGGAATTCCTCAAGGATTACGATTTCACATTGTCTTACCATCCTGGTAAGGTGAATGTGGTGGCCGATTTATTGAGCAGGAAGTTGTTGCATGTGGCAACAATGATGGTGAAAGAGATGAAGTTGATTGAGGAATTTTGGGACATGAACTTGACCATGGAGGTAAGGCCAGAGAGCTTGTATCTCAGAGCGACAACAATCCGTAACGACTTCTTGGTGTTTGTCCGAGATGCTCAACAGGAAGATGCTTCCCTGTAAGACATGATGAGGCAAAAGGGTGAGGAAAAAGACTTGGAGTTCCACTATGATGAGAACGAGGTGATTAAGTTCAAGAACCAAGTATGCATTCTCCAAGTGGATGAGTTGAAGCAAATCATACTTGAGGAAGCGCATAAGAGTATGATGAGTTTTCACCCCGATGCGACCAAGATGTATCAGAATCTTCGAAAGAGCTTTTGGTGAAATGGAATGAAGAGGGATGTGGCTAAATATGTGACTAGATGCCTAACCTGCCAGAAGGCGAAGATAGAACACCAGTGTCCACCTGAGTGGAAATCCCTGAGTGGAAATAGGACAGTATCTCCATGAACTTTATTTCCGGATTGCCGAAGACCAAGAACAACCATGATGCCATTTGGGTGATAATGGATTGGTTGACCAAGAGGCTGCACACTTTATCCTGATTAACATGAAGTATAAGTTGGAGAGGCTTGTGGACTTATATGTAAGGGAGATAGTCAAGCTGCATAGAGTCTTGATCAGTGTGGTGTCTGACAGAGACCCGAGGTTTACCTCAAGATTCTGGGCGAGCCTGCAGAGGGCCTTGGGCACTAATTTGAAGCTTAGTTCGGTGTATCATCCACAGATCGACGGTCAGACAGAGAGAACCATCCAGTCCCTAGAGGACTTGTTGAAAGCTTGTGTGCTTAAGCAGCAGGGGACTTGAGAGGAATGTTTGCCATTGGTGGAGTTCACATATAATAACAGTTATCATGCCAACATTGAAATGACGCCATTTGAGGCTCTGTATGGACGGAGATATAGGACTCCTTTGTGCTGGTATGAGAATGGAGAGGCTACTCTGTGTGCATCGAACATGATCTAGAAATAGAACAAACAAATCAAGATGATCAGAGAAAAAATGAAGGCTACACAGGATAGACAAAAGAGCTACTATGATAAGATAAGGAAGTCGTTGGAGTTTGGGTGGGTGACCATGTGGTTTTGAAGGTCTCACCTGTGATCGGAGTTGGAAGAGCTTTGAAATCTCGGAAGCTATCTCCTAAGTTCATTGGGCTATTCAAAGTGCTGAGTAGAATTGGTCTTGCAGCTTACCGGATAGTGTTGCCTCCAAATCTCTCGAATCTACACCCAGTATTCCATGTGTCACAACTCAAGCAGTATGTGTCAGATCCTTCCCATGTGATTGATCTTGACTCGATTCAAGTGAAAGAAGACTTGTCTTATGACGTGTATCCGACGAGGATAACGGACCACCGTGTTAAAAAGCTGAGGGGCAAGGAGATCTCATTGGTGAAGGTGATATGAAGCTCAAGTGATGAGGGAGATGCCACATGAAAAATGGAGAGTAGAATGAAAGAGTTATATCCGAGATTGTTTGTGTAACTTGTATGTGTGTTTGGTTGAATTTCGGGGACGAAATTCCCTAAAGGAGGAAAAAGTTGTAACGCCCCAAATTTTATAATATAATTTGATTAATAATATAAGTGTGTATGTAGATTTTTATGTGTTTGTGTATTCGATACATATATATATATATATATATATATATATGTATATGTGATGATGTAGGCTTGTATGAGCATGTGTATTGGTTGTGATGAAACATAAATTGTCGTAAATGGTTGAGATTGAACTGAAAATTTGGCTAAGTATTTGGTGTAGAGTGTTCTCGCTGCACTGAGAGATGTCTCACTACAGCGAGAGGCACCCTAGGAGGAAAGCGTGAAATTGTCGCCTTCTTGCTGTAGTGAGAGAGTGACAGTTTAGGGTACATTTCTGGGTGCAGTTTCACTATAGTGAGATTTTGCAGAAATCAGGATGCAATTTTCTCTGAGATTTTTGCTGTAGCCAAATTTTAAAACTTCATATGCGTAAACTCTAAATCACTGAAACTGAGCAAAATTTTATAACTTCATACATATAAATCTCGTTTGTAATATAATTAAGAATATAATTTTGAGATTATCAATTTACAATTACAAGAAAGCTAAAATTTCTATATTAACTATTAATTACTAAATATTAGATATGTGTTTTGAATTGTCATTTACAATAGATTTATTAAAATACTTCAAACTCTCATTAATAACTTAATTAATGTAATTACATTCTTCAAAATAACCGGTCCTAACAAAACAGTCTCTTTCCTACCATCCCTTGCGAGTATGATCCTAGAATGGATCAATCCTCTTTTTATTGCTTCGTTACTTGAAAAAGTTTGTAAGGGTGAGCATCCCTAACCCCACTAAAATTCTTATTTTATAGAATAATAAATAATAATACAAAAATATTTTCTAATACAACAGGTAACCGAGCAGCAATATTCCATATTTAACAAATTTAACCAGACAAAATCATTCATATACATCTTTCATCATTGTATTTACTGATACGTATTTCATTTCTTATTTAATTAACACATTTAAATTCAATGTCTAAACTCATGCCACTTTACTTGATCATACATTTTCAATCAAATGAAAGTTATCCATGAATGTTACTCCGCATTTAACCAATTATCATTATCCAATCCATATCTTCGTGCCACTATATTCATCTCAAATATGAACATCGCATCAATTAACGGGACTCTAGGTACTCTCGGGCTCCTAACTCGCTGCCAACGTACTCTCCTTAGTTACGAAGGACTTACGCAACATAGATAATTGATGGTAAGCCAAACCACACACGGATACAACGTGTGCATTCACATCCTTCCAAGCAAAGGTATAGTTAGGAATTCGACCATGAAATGAGTGTGAGGCCTATAAATGCATCCCACTTTTACATTATGTACACATTAGTGAACTGCATTTACCACTCTTATTTCCACCATATTTTCATATTCAACTTCAGATCCTATACCGCTAGTGTATCCCTGAACTATCCATACAGTATCTCAACAGTGACACATCAAGTTATACTACTCTAATACATATGTTGCAAACATACTAATTGATGTACTACAACAGATGTGTTATAATCTCACCCGTCGGTGTATTACAACGCATATATCATAAGCGTACCAATCAGTGTATTTGACACATGCACTAGTATTCCTTATTCCTTTCTTTACACATATTCATCACTTTTTCATATCACATAATTCCCTTTTCTTTTGATCTCATTCAAATACTTGATCTCATTCTCCAATTCACATACTTGATCTCATTCATCGATTTCAATTACACATATAATCACAAGGCAGACACATATCATTACAGGTCCAATACATTTATCACGTTTGGTCATTTAAGTATATGTTTACAAAGCAGTAACATATTATCACACAAGTCCATACAATATGACGAGGGTCGGACACCTTCATACTCAGCCCAAATCGTGCAGTTTAGAATATACTGCCGAAGATCACATTCTCTCGGTCTTAATAGAATTTTCTAATTTAAAGTTCATTATATTCTACTTTTTCACCATTTAACACATATATAAAGAATATTGTAACTTACTTATAAAACTATTTAACTCATTCTTACTTGTGACTATTTAAGATAAACTTCGTTTCAAGTGATTTTAAATAGATCAAAAATCTCTTTTATACCAAAAATCCATTTCAAACTTATATTGTTCAAGAAAACTTTATGGATTTACTTTTTTAAAATAAGATAACCCTATTCTTTAAAGATTAATAAACATATTTAGGTAGAACCTAGGGAGTGCATCTTCTCTAACATTGGAATGAAATTTTTGAGAAAAATTGTTGGATAAATCCAACCCTTTCACATGCAATTTTCTTAAGTTTTGATTTGCTTGAGGACAAGGAAAAGTTTAAGTTTGGGTTGTGATGAGTTCACATTTTATAGGATTTCCACTTGTATTTCTAGTGTTCTTTAATAGAAAAAGTAAACTTAGGGAGTGTAAATAATATAGAAATATCATTTTGGTCAAATATCATAGGTTTCTTAATTTTTGGTTAATTTACATTGATTTAAATAGATATAATTTACAATTTTGATCATTTGAATAATTGTGCAGGAATTTCTAGACTTATTCCATGGATTTTTATCATTTGAGAAAATTAGAGTTGAAAGTGACCACTTTAAGAAGTGATAGTGGACACTACAGCAAGCTAGATCTAAGAGACAGACCAAAGTGATCACTTTCAGAGTGATAGTGGACACTATAGAGACCCCAGACTGAAGAGGGCCTATGCGTAACCACTTTGAACTCTATAGTGGACACTCTAAAGAGGGCTAAATTGACCTAGTCCTGCGCGTAGCCACTTCCATTCCATAGTCGCTACGCGTACTATGCGTAGTCACTTTGAACTTCATAGTGGACACTCCAGAAAGGGATGACAAGATGGAGGCTGCGCGTAGCTACCATGACTTCCATAATAGCTACTATGGATGACGACTAGTTCACTATAAATGAATTTTTGAAAATTAGGGTTAGGGAGCTTGTTACACTTTTAGATTTTTGCCATTTTGGGAACTTTTGTAGAGCCTAGAGTGGCCTTGGGTGACAGCCAAGGGTCCAACCTAGGGTTTGATTTTCATTTTTTTCTTACTTCTCTTTGATTTTTCATCTTGATGTTATTGATTTCTCTTAAATTTTACTTTGTAATGGTGAGATCCATCCTCATGGAGGGCTAAACCTTTTGTAATCCTTAGTGAGTTCATATAGATTCTTGAATTCCTTAGCTTTTGAATGTTAATATAATTCATTTTCTTTCATGAATTTCTTCTTCCTAATCTCTTGGATTGAATTAATGGTTGAATGAGGGGGACATTGCTTAATTAACCCTAATTCATTTTAATGAGATTCTAAACTTGAATTGCTTAATTATGAGTTTATTTCTAAGGTTACGTAATCTTGGGATGAGAGATTGAAGTCTATTGTATTGCTTAATTCGTATGGAAACATAAGGTTGATTTTCGTTTGTTAAATTAACCTAATTTTTGGAGGAGAGGAAAAGTATTAAATCTTGAGAGGAATAGGGATAGAGTCTACATAAATGAACTAGGGGTTACTACATTCTATTAATTGAACTTTGCAATTTAATTTTCTGCTTAAGTAGATTGAAAGTGAAATCACAAAACCTCCTTTTTACTTGCTTTTTAAATACACTGCACACTACATGTTTGATATTTGGTTACTCATCCAATGATTCATGGGAAACAATCTAGGTTAGCACCCTATTATTACATTAATTTGTGTTTATATTTTGATAAGGATTCGTGACAAATCCTTCGTTCATCAGAGACCTTTCTCTCAAATACCTTTTTCTCTCGAAGATCTTTTAACTTTGACACTTGGGAACTCTTCCCTAACCAACTTCTGACAACTCTTAGAGTTGTTTGGGAGTGGAGATTATTAGTGAAGATATAAGATACTTGTCTAAAGTCGGAACAAGTTTTTGAGAGTGCTTTTTAGAGACAAGAATTCTTCTTATATTTTTTCTCCTTGAGATTCTTTTAGTTTGCATTACTTTCTAATGACTAAGGGTTTATTTGCAATTGTTTTCTCTTTCTATTCTATTGTGAGTGGCTAAATCCATATCCAGGGTAATGATAGATCCTTTGCATGCATTATACGATATTTTTGTTTAATGACAATTGCGATTTTTCTTTTTTATTAGTTTTTATCCTATTGAACTTGGAATTGACTACTCTTAACATATTATAATTAATTGCATTGTAAGCGATCGTACCACATGTAATTAATGAAAATATAAGGTAAAACGAGATGAATTAAATGGTTGACAAACATAGGAAAACTAAGATTGAAATTAAACTAAAATTAATCATAATAGGTGTATAAGTAAAACCACAAGTCCTAAGTTCATTTCAAATAGTTTTCTTGTTAGAAGTTGCACTATTTTCTCTTTACCTTTTAGATTTCTTTTAATTACTTTCTCTTTATTTCTATTATAAATTATTTAAGTTTAAATATTTAAATCACGATAATCTTGCTAATTAAAGACATCTTTTATAAGACGATATTTTAGAAATTCAATTTAAAAACACATTTTATTACTAGTTGATACATTGCCTACAAACAATACAAAATATTAATTATACATTAAAATTGTGACATTTTAACATTTCTTTTAATATTTTATTTGAAAAGCATTTCGATGTTCTTAAATTTTGAAAAGCATGTTTAACAAAGAAAAAACCTTTTTAATATTTTTAATTTTAGTTAATATAATATTGGTTTATTATCTTAAAAAGTCAATGCACTCTTTAAAAAATAACTTATTTATAAGGCAACGAAATAGGCATTTAGATAATGAAGTAATTTTAATATTTACCTATTAATTTACTTATTAACATTGTTGAAAA